GATTTTGACGAAAAACTGCTGTGAAAGTTTCAGAAGAGAAGTCAACCACATCTGATCAAAAAAACAAGCCAACTTTCCGAACGCTCAACAAAACACGATGCACCAAGGTACTTAAAAAATTTTAACAACTGTTCCATTTCAGTTTTTTTCAACTATAAACAAGTTTAGAATTTCTGAATTGTGCCAATTTTAAGCAAATGTATGTAAAAGAAATGTAACTTACTACAAACGTTCGGTTAGCAGTGACAAGCCCAGTACCTTCCAATTTTCAGCTTATTTAGAAGAAAAAAAACTCTAGTTAAATCCACTGTTATTAACAGTTACAAATAACTTGTTTAAATGCCAAAATATTACATTTTCTAAATGAAGTAGTGTAATTTAGAGAATTAGCTGTAATAACTGATGATGAAAAGAGTCAGACTGATTCAACAGCAGATATGAACCACCTGGATCTGTCAGAATGTTTCGAATTCAAGGATGGTCATAGTGATGGACCTGGAACAAATGTATCTTATATTATCAAAGAAAAATTGCGCACTTTTGCGAGCAATCTTAGAAGGCGAACTTCCGAGGTTTGTTTTATTGGTACCATAATAAACATACAATATGAAAAAAGTAAATTTTAAAGAAGGACAGTAAATTTCACAAACTTTTCAAAATATAAAAAGAGCCCTGAAGTTACTTAACCTAATAAAATATTAACAAAACATCAAAATTAAACAGACTAAACAAAACTACTAAACTATAGTAAAATATGTTAAAAGTACTGGTCATTTTCAGTGTGCAAAACAAATGTTGTTTTCGGTACTTATCAGTTGGATGCAATTTTACTGCTCTTAAAACAATAAATTAAGATAATCATTTTATGCTCAGAATTAATTTGTAAGATATTTATACAGCTGAAAACATTTGCTGAAATTAATTTACAATCTTTTTTACCAAAACGGCAACAGCAAACACAATTTTTTTTTGTTTATTGAAGATGGCTGAGGAAATGGAGAAAGAAGTTGAATCTGCAGAAACAACGACCACGGGAGGAAGCGCTGAAGATACAAATAAACATAGACCGAGCTTGCTATCCTTTATCGGTTTACAGGTAAATCAGCAATCAACTGTGTAACTATTATGATACATAACTGTGGGTTAAAGTTGCATGACGAACGGCCATTAATTGTCTTGCAGCGTATCGCTGAAACTTCAAAAATCGAGAAATCTTACATATCCCAGCTGTTTACATCACCAATTAATCCGCGGGGTAAATTCTTGCTAAGCATTATGGATTTTTAGTGAATAACTAAGATATATTCTATTTATCAAATTTTCAGAATATAAATATGTCATTTGGCTCACTGCTCTTACTTTAACTTTTATCTATAATGCCTTGGTGATACCAATGCGCAGTACCTATCCGTATCAAAGTGACAGTAATCTAAAATATTGGCTTATTGCTGATTACATTAGCGATACTATGTACATTGCGGACATTGTTCTGGTCAAACCAAGGCTTATTTTTATGCGAGGAGGCATCCCAGTGGTATCACTTATCTTTTTTTTGAGCTAATTTTTGAACTCTCTACTGCTAAGACTTCAATTTGACTTTGAATGAACTAAATAATGACAAGAACAACAAAAAGAGATTAGACAACAGCAGTTGAATAAAAAACGTCAACATCAAATTGCAGTAAGTACAGTTATAAAAAGTGCCTGAATTCGCTTTAAATACAATAAAAGTTGTTTTCGATTTCTTTTTTGATTAAATATTTCTGCCGCTTAATTATTTTAAACAAAAATAAAGTTCTCTAACGCTTAAAAAAAGCACTACATTAACTCAAAACCAAGTTAATGTAAACGTAATTTATTTTTCTCTCATAAAAGAAACAAAAAAATGAAAGACAATATAAAAATGCAAAAAAGCAGCAAAAAACAATCACTCATTTATTAACTGTAATATAAAATGATTAAATCTTGACAAAAATCTTTTTATCGTAATACATTTTGACTACAGTGACCGTTGCTGCAAAGCAATATTCAGAAAATAGAAACCCTTTAAAACTGCATATGCTGTCAGCTCTTCATTTTTAGACATTTACTATTTGGTTCAAGTCAATAAGTTTAAAAAACTAGAGGTAACAAAACTAAAGATGTAATTGAACAGCTTTTAGACAGACCGTAAAGAAACACGGAAAAACTACTGGTCAAGTGTTCGATTTAAGCTCGACTTGTTATCGCTGATACCATTAGACTTCATGTACTTCTGCACCGGTCCGATTGCAATTTGGAGATTTAGTCGAGTGATGAAGGTAGGAAAAAAGATTGGGAAATAATGAAAAAAAAACCTGCTACTGAGTACTGTGCTAGGCCAAAGTCTTGTTTTTCTGATGGCTAGTCATCGATATTCTGCCAAGTTTTCAAAAAAGATAACGAATGACGGTACATGCAAATTGTGCTACAGTTCAGTACTAATGATAACAAATATGTCAGATATAAGCTGAAGGGACATTTCTGGACTAATCACCAACTACATATTAATGATTAATGTATACTGTAAAGAACTAGGAAAAAAGACAGCGAGTAATTTCAGAAGGCATTTAGGAGAGGGTGGTTCGACAATGGTGAGATGAGCGAATCTTTGTTCAAATAAGACTTTAAGTCAGGAAAGAAGTATGTTGCCAGAAGCTACCACAAATGATTTAAAAAACCGATTATTTCATTAGCATTCTAGTTTACTTTCTACTTTTTTCAAAAATTTTGTTTTTTTGTGCATTCTTTGGCTACTTTAGATAGCAACATTTTGGGAGCTGTTCGATCTGCTTGACAACGCCTTCTCTACAGCATTTCTTATCAGGTTAGCCACAGTTTCTCCAGTCATATATCTTACACTTCTAAAAACATTTTTAGACTCAAACTTTTAACCAGAAAATTTTTTCTATCAAGTGACGACGACTCAAATAGTTGTTTTTTATGTGCAGAAGAAATTTATATCTTTTCTCTTTTTCATCCTGTACTTCGTTTTCTCTTTTATGATTCTTAAATGAATTTTTTGAAAAACTAAAAGTAGTTAGAATATAAGCATTGCTTCTTCTTTCTGCTCCACTGATTTCTTCTAATCGTGCTGAGTGGTTAGGGTAATTTTATTTTCGTTATAAAGATGAAGTCAGAAGTTTATAAAAATAGATACAGTTCTTATTAAAAGCCAAAAAGATGCCTTCAGTTTCTACTCTCCTGTGATTGAGTTTTGGTTTCTATACGAAATTTAAAAAAAACTAATTATATCGGGGAAAGTATTTGTTTCGCTTAGTTATGGTTGAATACCAAATTTAGCCGGTTTTCTATTGCATTATTTCATCTAAGAACAGCGTAATAATGCCTTTTAAATTTTGTTTATTTTTTGTTAAATTTCTCCTGCAGGATTGGAAGTTGGCAGCATTCAGAGAGGAAAACAAACGTTCCTGAAATAAATTTCAACTTTACTTCTCTTAAACACGTCATTTAGAGTCCATGATTATTTTCGATACGAATAAGAGTCTAAAATAGATTAGGGAATGCAATCAGCTGCCATGTACAGTTTAGCTTGTCACTATTATAGACCAAAGCTGTTTCTGTCGTGACTGCAGACAAAATTCTAAAATTTGGAGAGTCGCTCTCGTCAGCTTCTCTCCTATAGTGTCCTATGGGACCTTTCTACTACTCTTTCTACTGTAAGCTCAACCAGTCCTTGAACCTACAGCGCCAAACTATAGCTACCTTGATAACTGTTAACAAGTGGAAATACTTAATTACTACTCGTGCATTACTACCCTTACTACGAACTAGTTTATTACTCATAAACAAAATAATACAATAAACAAAATAATTGAAGCGATTCAGATCTTATCATACACGATAAGGTGATATAATAAGCAAAGAACCCTTAAAAAAAAGAGTAATATACACACAAGTAACTGTCTATGGGCACATACAAAAAAGACTCAAGAGACTCAAGAGAACAATCCACTAGCTGTGATCGTGGTTAAACTAAGCTTTACTAGTTGTAACTCCCTATTTATACCTGTCCCACCGTTAACGTGACCTAGGTAGTATGCTCCTCCGATAGAGTCCCCTCAGAGAGTATAGTCCCGACGGTCATTTACTGTAGTGAGTCGCGTATGGTCGCGACAGTTTTCTAAAAAAACCACACTTCAATTTTTATGCTAATCAGAATTGATTACTTTCAAATTTTGCCCTGGCAGTATACCTCAAGAAGTTAGTAGGAAAAAAAGTTAATTACAAATGCTCTTTTCCAAACTGATAGGCAGTAAAGCATCAGCTGAATGAGTGATCACGCAAAAAATTTAAAAGATTTATAGTTGCAAACTGAATTAATCAAACATTTACCACATATCTGCTGTTTACGTTTTAACAGAAAATTTTTTTTGCTACTTTAAAAACAATCTAGTTTTTTTCTATATTATATGATCACTGCTCAGACCGATGAATGCTCAGCCAGATAACAATGTAACGTTTGTAAATTGATTAAAAAATCAATAAACTTCTTCCTGAATTTATGTTAACAACACTGCAGGCAGTTTCAATTCCAAGATAGACCAAAAGCGCTAAATATAGTCCTTAACAAATGTTGAGCTATGTTTTGCTCAATTTTTATACAGCTGGCTGAAGATTTCACATGTTTATACGTCAATTTTGCCCCACTCTTTTTATATTTAAGCAGCTTGTTTTTAATCTACTGATTACCTCTACTTATAAAAAGACTTTAAGTCTCAATTTTCGTAGGTGAAACATTCAAGCAAATAACATAAAGCAGTGCAATTTTACCCGAAAGTTAAACAGTTTGGGAAGCCTAGTTCAGAATAACAGCTCCAACATCTTGCTATAACAATTTTAAAAGTTACAAACCGGCTAATAAAGCTTTATTCGCTTTGGTCGAGAAAATTTCTAATGAAATTACTCTTACACAAGCTTTTTATCATATATGATCCTGGAATAGTAACATGAATTGTCGGTGGCAGATTACCTTCTATTTAATTGTTTTCCCTATATATTTATCAAAAACTTCCTCAATATTTGCAAAAGAAAGCAATTACTTTTCAAACAGGTGAGAAATAAACTTTTAAGTAGACGCTAGAGCTGTTGCTCTGTAATGAAGCACCTTTCATGCCCTACTGCTTCTGCACTGTTCAGTAGCAAATTGCTATAGAAAAGAGGAATTAAGACTTCCTTATCATGAAATCTTGAATAAAATAATGTTCCCAGTTGAGCGATAAGTACATCGCAGGATATTTCAGCAGTAAATTACTTGTTGTAAGTGCAAGGTTTGAGCGGAAGAATATAATTTTAGAGCTTTTTTGAACAAAAATTATTTGGCCACATAATTTTGATAAAAATTTTGAAAAGAGGAACTTAAAATGACTTTTTCAGAGTAACAAAAACTTTATTCTACATGCTTTACATAATCCATTGTAACAGTTGTCTTTACTATATGATAAGCGCTTGGGAAGGTTTCGGACAAATTGCATACCGTATTAACGGCAGATGGTATGTGAACAAATGGGCTTACACTAATCAAGGTGAACTCATGCCTTCTGTAGTCATGTTCCTTCGCTGATTATGAAGTATGCTGTTAGGATGTCACAGTAACTACAACTGCTAATTATGACAACTAATAGCAAAAAAAAAAAAAAAGACAGTGTTTTGTTTTAAGGTAATGCATACATTCGTTGCTTTTACTTTGTCGCCGCAGTGGCTACATCTATTGGAAGTAACCCCGCTCCGACAAATGTAATTGAATACATTTATATGACCTTCTCTTGGATGATGGGTGTTTTTGTATTTGCACTTCTGCTTGGTCAGGTAACTTTTACTTGTTTACCGAGTAAACCATTGTCTATTTCTTAGCAGTTTTATAAACCTGAATAGTCCTGCTCATTAATGCATATTATCCTTTTCTGAACAAAGCTTTGAAAAAAAAACATGTCAGAATTTTAGATTAAAGACATAGTTTCAAATGCAAATCGAAATCGAGAGAACTATCGACAAACTATGGATGCTGTGCTTGGAGAATGCAGTAATCTCGGTTTACCAAAGCAAACAATTGATCGAGTTCGGGACTGGTTCAACTACACATGGCAACAACAGAAAACACTGGGTAGGATATTTTTTCCATATGATCAGATGTAGCATATTTGTCGACAAACAGAAAAGTTTGCTGAAACATTAAATATTAGTTTTTCATTCAACTACTAAAATGCTTTTGTTCAGACAGATGTAAAACTGTGACATGAAATTGCAGCCTGAAATCAATTTTAAATTGTTAGATTGTTGATCTGGCGGAGTAAAAAAGGCTGTCCATTTTCTAAGAGTATTTTCTAAAAGCCAGCTTTTATACTGTATAAGAAGGCGATGAACAATCATAATCAAGCTTGAAACTTGAGAGTTTTAGATGCATATAAAGTGAGTTTTTCAGGTCTGCTGTTTTTTTGTACAAATTCTGACTATTTTTAAGAAAACTTTTCGTAGTTGATTGAGGTGAGAAAGTATATTCACGTAGTATAGTTTGTTTGGTAATTTTTAAAATATTATTTGTAGATTTATTTATGATTCTATCACCTTCATTTAAGATGAACAAAAACTGATTGACAAACTGCCACTGAAGCTGCAAACCGACTTAGCTCTTTCAGTACATTATAACACCTTCAGTAAAGTGCAGCTTTTTCAGGTATCAAAACAGACTTCTGTTTCAGTCTCTATTTGTCTATTTATATAAATTTAAACGTTCTCTCCTAAGCGCTACTTATCTGTATATTAAAATAGTATCTTGTAATTGCAACTTTTTTCAGGATTGTGACAGAACTTTAATTCGAGAACTTGTTTTAAAACTACGTCCTGTTATATTTTTACCTGGTGACTGGGTATGCAAGAAGGTGCGAAAAGTGTATGAGTATTAGTTTGTAATAGTCACTCATAATTTGGGAACCTTATTTAGGGTGATGTCGGTAAGGAAATGTATATTGTTAACAATGGAGTTCTACAGATTATCGGTGGACCTAATAACACCACTGTTTTTGCAGAACTGACTGAAGGATCTGTGTTTGGAGAAATTAGGTTTTGCCATTTTCTGTTTCCACTGTAGAAGACTATTGCTTTCAAGAGTGGTAAAGGCTTTTGATCAAGAATAGATTTTTGCTGCGTAAGATGTGCCCCGTTTTATTCAAGTTCAAAACAAGATTACTTTAGTTCCTCGTAACTAATACTTCAAAAAAATTTAAATGAATAGTCTCACGTCTTTAGTTTACTAGCGATTGGCGGAAACAACAGGAGAACAGCGAACATACGGTCTAAAGGTTACTCAACGCTTTTTGTGCTTTCAAAAGAGGATCTGAATGACGTTATTAAGGACTATCCTGCAGCCCAAAAACTATTGAAAAGAAAAGCTAAGTTCGTCACTTTCGTCTTTTGTTTCTTCTAAGAGCAATATTACAGAAAAACACCTATATCTTACCACCAGTAACCAAATCTTGATGGCAAAGAAAGCATAAGCCTATTGAAAAAATTGTTACGGAACAGATAAACAAATTTTACGGTAAAATTACGTATAAAGTTTGACGTGCCATCCTTCTTTTAGTTATAAATTTTGTAAATTACTGTGATGGCTGTTGTTCTGCCAAAAACTGAACATTTGAGTGGCAGAAAAAAGAACGACATTAAGTAGAAAAAGAAAAAAAGAAAAATAAACTTATAAAAAAAGTTCTAAAATTACAAAATCGCATTTTTGTTTTGGTTGTAAAGCTAATCTTAAAAATTGCTTTGAAGATATAATGAATATAAAAAATTGAAATGAAACCGACTTTTAGCCGTTAATTAATTTAACAAAGCTACTTTTGATTCAAAAGCAATGTTTGCTTTAGACAAATGCTGAGTAAAGATTCAAAAGCAAAAGATGCCGAGGGAGAAAAGAAACAAAAAACACTGGAAGAAATCTGCCAGGTAACCGCACGCATTGAAACTCCACGTATGTTAAGCACCGTAGTTGAGGTGCTTCCCCGACAATCCGTTACCTATCAGCACCTACAAAATATACTTGGTAAGCAAATGTCGACATTCATTATTCTTTCCAATCCGGCGAAAAAACAGTATTGGCGTGATCAGAGTTTGAAAATGAAACCGATCTTTAGCAACCAACTAGGTTAACTGTTAGCTTAACAAATCTTACTGCTTCTTCCTAACAACTGAGTCATTTCAAAAAACAAAAAAAAAGATGATATTTTTAAACCTACTAATTCAAAACCTTTAGTTCATTTCAAATCTTTTTAATATAGTTTTGTTTTTTTTTTTCTGTTTGCTGATAAAGAAACAAAAGAATGGCGGAGGGAGTGAAAGAAGTGTAGTTATGAAGGCTTCAATACTCTTGAGACTCATTCTAGGAATTAAAAATGAATCAGTTTCTCCAAATAAACTTTACTGTTTCCAGGAAAAACGGAAAAAGACAAAGAGCAGACAAGCACCAAGTTGTTGACCGTTGAAAATCTTGCAACAAGTGGATCGTCTGAAAACAATGAAACACAAACAAGCATTGGAAGTGCTATTGATGAGCAGCTCAAAGAACCTGATTAGAAAGGTGCTGACGTGTACAGAACTTCTTAACAATGGTTTTCAATTGTCTGCTTCCACATATAGGAAAGCGACAGCTAAAAAAATGAACCTGAAAAAATTGGATAGTTTGAGAAGGCTATTTGTCATAGAAGCGCATTGAAATTCTTTGATATTATAACGAATATTCTTGAAAGAAAAATTCTATGATTTTATGTTTGGTAAACATATAATCAGCCGACTCCCAAACGGCTGTTTCTTTATTGGAATTCATAATGTTGTTCTTTTTAATGCTTTGCAAATTTAGTAGATCGCTGAAAAGGCAGTATATCAATTACTTCCATTCATTTTAGTCAAAAGATCTAACAATACTACTAAGGTTTCAGCTTAACGTCGAAATGACGCTATTTTTGACGCTAAAAAAAGTACAACGAATCTACTAGAAATGTTGGCTTGTAATAAGCAATTCAATTAACTGTTAAAGTATGAGAAGAAGAATCTACGCAAGTCATCCTTTTGCAAACAAATTTTGTCACTGTTTCATAATTCCGGAAACTACAGGTAATCTGTTCAGTCTATCAGCAAATGCATAACTTATTAGTCATATGTACAAATAGACGTTGATTGAAAGTTGGCCACGGTGAACATAGCAATGACTATTTAGAGCAAATGAAAGAAAAAGCTTTATATGTCAGCAGAATTTTTAGATGTTGTCAAGTTTTTTTAAGTTGACATTATTTTGTTTAATATTACCTTTCTACTTTTTTTCTTGGGAGAGATAGTGAGGCAAAGGAGGGGGGAGAGGGGAAAGTAAGTACAGCAGTCTAACTGATAAATATGCATAGACTTTTAGAAGATCCAATCCAGTTTTTTTTCCTTCTTGATTTTAAAACAGGGCATAAATAAAATAGGAATTTTAACTGTGTTTATTGATTTTTAGATAATCTGATCGTTAGCAGTCTTTTTTTTTTTTGTCAACATCGTTTCAATTTTTTTTCTTTCTTTTAAGCAAAACAAAATCGCTTTTGATATATAATGTCTGAAGAAAAAGACATATTTGAAAAGCATAAGTAAACTGCATGAATTTTCTGCTACTGATATCACTGTTTATTATACTGAAAATTTGAGTTAGCAATGAGATCTGCTGTTTCATGGCTTTATCGATAATTATAATTGAATTGATCAAATGCAGTTTAAAAAAAAAGAAAAAATATCTACCCAGACTTTGTCATTTGGTTCGTTAATCGTAAAACGAATATTCTGAATTGGTGTTTGAATACATATCCAACAGGTCTGTACAAAACTATTTTGAATATATATATATATCTATTTGTATAGTTAATGTCTGCTGATAAGTGAAAGTTTTTATTGCTGCTTTAATTAAAGAGAAATAATTTTTTAGCCTTTTTTTTTTCGCCCTGAATTCTCAAAAAAAAATAAAATAAAATAAAATTTTTTTCTCACAGCTAAATTTAATTGTTAAAATTTTTGTTTTGTTGTTAGTGTTTTTGGTTTTCAAAAAAAAAAAAGAAATGAATTATTACAGCTATGTTTAAAAGTTTGACACAGTGTTTAGAGCAATTTTACAAATAATGTACTGTTTAATTTACGATACTTATATTTAAAACACTTGTTTTTGAATTAATTCTTAAACTTTTAACCCCTCCGTTTTATTGTCTAAACAAAACAAAGCTATTGATTTAAATAAATATTACATAAGAAGTGATTTTTTTCTTTTTTTTTTTTT